AAATGACTTAAGTTTTTCAAATACAATACCCTGTATATTATTTTAGGAATAAATTCGTTATGAATTTACCTATCGAACAATACCAAAATGTTAGCATATTATGTATACAGGGTGTCCCATCAGTGCGTATAACTGTTTTATTATTGGAGATACGAAGAAATTTTTAATACAGAAGTTGTGGGACGATATTCTACAATTATTTTTAATAAACAGGACAGTCCATAAATGAGGGGCAAACAAAACTTATACTTTATAGATCAAACCATCACAGATGTGGTTGTTTTCAGATCATTAAACAATTTTAATTGCTTTAAATCCCTAAAATGTTTTCTATTTGATGTACTCAATCTCTTTTTTTTAAAATACAATAACCTTTTTGTTATACCACCACCAATTCATAAGTAAATTTCTTAATTTTTTATTTTGGTTTATGGTCTAGTATACTTAAAATAAACTATATTTTTTGTTTTTGATAGTTCTGATTTCCATTTTTTATAAATAACGGCTATTCGTTAGATAGGAAAGTATCATGAGCTATATACGTAATGAAATTGTCAAACTTTAACCTTTTCTCGAATAAACTTTTTGTGACATGACGCCTTTATCCACTCGTGTCTTCAATTGTTTTTATGACCTGAAATTATTTTTCAATCATTTCCAAAAAGTTATAGATAACGAAAGTTGTCATTCAGAATGCGACGAGGATCTTGAGAATGATGACGACGACGAAGACAATAGTGATAATGATGTCGATGACTAAGATTATATCGATGACGAAGATGATATCGATGACGAATGATATCGATGACGACGACATCGATGACGAAGATGATATCAATGACGAAGATGATATCGATGACGAAGATGATATCGATGACGATGATAACGGTGACGATGATGATATTTAGTTTTTTATAACAGAATCATAATATTGTTATAAATAATTAAACTTATTTAGAAAAATAAAACGATTTTTCCTTTTTTTATTCAATCTCATTTTCAAAATTTGTGATTGCAGATTCATTCAATAAGAATTATAATCAAAATGAAATATTTTCCAACAAGCTCTGTTTACACTAGGCGTTTATTTATAGTAAGATCTCCAAAGTCACCGCGTTAACACACGCAACGCTAAGCGAAATCCACCAATACCGTCGTGTACGCTGGTCTCCCCTCCACAAAGTAGTAACCGGTAGAACTCTGTAAAATCAGTGTGGCCGTTTCGGTTTCAATTCAATACGAAATGATTACATTCAGTACTTCAGTACAACTTATTAAAAAAACACGAAATTCAGTACGAAATGCGAAAATTAGAAAAAATGCAAAATTTATAGATTTATTTTTTGATTTTATTGTTCATTTTGGTTTATTAATTAATAATTAAAACTAAGACAGATTCTTTAAACTGTAAAATGTAAATTATTATATAGTGTGTGTATCGTCAGAGGTTATGTGAACCTCTATTTAGATACCGTTGTATCACTTGACACATGTCAAGTTGTCAATCTAGTCATTTTTACTTTGAATATATTTGCTGACGCACTTTATTTTTTGTTATATTTTACTTTATTTTTAAAAACAATTTTGATTTTTAAATTCGTATTTTACTGATTAGCGCCATGTTGATATTGGTTTTGATATCTTTTATGTTGGGAGGGGGAACGAGCTACGTTAATCAAATGGTAACTGGTTTTGACTGGTTTATTTAACTTCTGTAAATGTAAAAATGAAGACGGACAGCTTGACTTGACATGTGTCAAGTGATACCAACCGTATCTACATAATGTTCACATAACCTCTGACATTTCCGTTTAGTACATTTTTATTGCTTATTGCCATTTATCAGTAAAAAGACAAATAACTTGGCTTGACTTTATAGGGAAATTAGGGGAATTACCGAAATAAACTTTGGGGTAGGTTTGGACGTACTTAGTTCTCTGTTCTACATTTGCCTAACTGTAATGTTCAGTTACAATTTGTAATCGCTGCAGCTTTGTGTTTATTGTTATTGAGTTCTGAATAAAATTGACAGTAAGAAATAATTTTTTGTCAATAAATAAAGCCTATTTTCTCATAAGAGAATATAATATGAGTGGCCTAGAAATAGGACTAAAAATATATTGATATAAAGGTTCTACTATAAAATTTTTATATTCAGTACATTTTTTCCCAATTCAGTACATTTTCCAAAATTTTTCAGTACAATTTTAAAAATCGTCACGGCAACACTGTATAAAATCCTCAGTGTTAACGTAGCAACCGTTCGAGATGGAGATTCTAGTTATTGTTCCGCCAAGTGCGAGTCATTGAATTTTTACATGCAAAAAAATTCCTCCCATAGAAATTCATCGCCAATTGGTAGAAGTTTATAGTGGGAAGTGTATGGATGTGAAAAACGTTCAAAAATGGTGTACAGAAAGTTGAAAAGCTTGTTCTGAAAGATCACATGTTGACGCTTGATGAGCTGAAAAACTTCAAGGAGTATGCAGCACTCAATTTTGGCGAATAATCTGCAGTACCGAAAATTGTCAGCCAGGTGGGTACCAAAAATGCTCACTGCGGAACACAAAGTGAAGCTTGTCCAATGTGCTCAAGAATTTTTCGCCAGTTTATAAAAAAGAGGGGAAAATATTTCTTGATTCAATAGACACAAAAGATGAAACATGTCCTGACGTCGCTCTCTGTGGCTTTAACATGTTTCCTGTCCTAAAAAGAAATATCTAAGAGGAATGAATGAACGAAGAGGTGTATGAAGCGGTCGTCTCCTTCCTGGACAAGGCGGTGGAATCTTGGTTCGAAGAGGGGATACGTCATTTGGATGTGAAGGTCATTAAAAAAATGGAAAATATTTAGAAAAATAGCTTAGATGTTAAGCTTAAAAATGATGTAACATGAAAGTAAATGTAATTTATTATGAAGAAAAAAATGAAGATCTTTAAATACACGTCTCGTAACTTTGGAAAAAAAATCTTCATATTTACACCTCGAAATTATATTCAAATTGCTAAATCGTGCTACTATATCATTAATTTCACGAAAGACAAAGTAGCATACGTTAATTAATTGTTTTTGAAATAGTGCTACACGACAGAACTATATGCAAATGTTTATGTTGTTAAAGTATCATATAAACTTTATATTAAATCCGTTTTTAATTGTTAAATAATTGTTGCGAGTAATTACAAAAAAAGTACATGTTTAAAAAATTACTGCAACGCATGTGCACACCGCAATTGTATGCAAAGTAGCTTTTCGTGGTCTATTTAACAACAAAAATAATGCTGTGAAAAAGCATACGTTTAATTATTGTTCTTCAATACTTCTTCTTTTTTACATATTCAAGTAACAATTTCGAGACGTACTACACTGCAGATTATTTTTCGCAGCATATTTTTTCAAGTTTATCCATTTTTAATACAAATTGAAATTTGCTTGGAGACGCCGCTGCATGCGAGCACAACATCTATAATAATCATAACTCAAAAGGTGCATACATCAAAAAAACGTTGCAAAAATCTGTCATTACCGACAAGTCTAATAGTCAAATAGTCACTTGTTTTTCTCAATGTAATTTCTCTAATGTTTATAGCTTTAATAAAAAAGTAATTATTAAAAAGAAACTTTAATGGTTACAATTATCAGTTTATACATAACAAATTTAAGAACAATTAATGATTAGTTAGTATTAAAAAAAAAGGTAATATGTTCATAGTTTTTTACATAGTTAATTTAAATATTAATAATTGAGCATTTAATCATTACTTGACATTTTTTTCTATTTTAATTTATGTATGTCTGGTGGGTGGACCAGATTTGCTTATACAGAGATATCGTAAAACGCAAGATATACAATCTCGGGTAAATGTGAAATAGATTTCATTTTCTGATGGTCTTTAAAAGATTTAGATTTTCTTATCAATTCCGAAAATATTTAAAAAATCTGAAAAAGCTCGTTGTCTTTTTTTAACTCTAATTTTGCTACTATAAAATATATAAAAAACTTTTCATTTCATAACTTTATAATTTTTTTTTTTTTTTTTGTAAATAAGGACCCGGATTATTAACAAATTTTTTTTGTTTTTGTATATTTTAAAGCTAATTTAATAAGTAATAAGAAAATTATTAAAATTTGAAATTGCAAAAATCTATTTAAAACAGGTATTTAATGCAATAATTTATTATTTAATCTGATGGTAAATAACATTTTCCGTAGCCTACAAGAATTTAGTCATAAAATAAATTACAATTTTTGATCAAAACGTGATTAAATATAACCAGATAATAAGATTAATGAAGAAGATATAGCGTTCTACGAAATTTTTACAGAATAAATTATTTCCAAAAATTTCCGAATTCGCAAAAATTGTTAAATTTTGGAAAGATGTATTTTGAAATCTATTAAGTGTATAGAAACGGTTTTGGGCTCAAATTATAGCAAACTCACTTTAATTTAAAAAAGTATGACCTACTCATAATTCCAAACCAGCCTTCAGGGTTATAATTGCAAAAATCTGAAGAAAGGTAGAACATTTCGTGATCTTTTGGACATTTTTGGATTTTTGACAAGTTGCCTTCGGCTTTTGATTCTTTATTGTGTCAATATCATAAACAACTCGGCCAAAAAATAGAACTGCATGATTTGACGCAAGGTCTGATATATATGGTGACTAAATTAAAACGAAAATGAGTTTTGTCGAATTTTACCGAATATCACCGGAAGTAACCGGAGCCTAGAAGTCTTATGGATCATTGAATTGCCAATAAAACTTTTCCCCATTTAATCGATATTGTATATATCTTGCGATTTACTAAATATCTAAATACACAAATTGATTCCAGTCCTTTAATATAAAATTTTACAGTATTTTTTTAGTTTTAGAAATAAAAAAAACTTAGGAAAAAACTATAACACACGTAACAATTAGTCTAAATTTCTACAAATATTCACCTTAGGCGTGTAGAACGTGTTGCTCCTCCGAAGAAATTTCCTCTGGTAGCCACTAGTTTTGCTCTACCACCTGCGCCGCAACAACTGCCGCTGCTTTCTGCGCCTGCGCTTGCTTCTCTTGTTCATTCAGTTCTAAAAGAGAAACAAATAACTGTTAATAGATAAACACGATTAATAAATTTAAAATTTTTGTTATGTGGGTTTTTATAGGATAACATGGACCACACGTGTTGAATCGAATTAATGTAGATATAGCTAACTCAAAAATATTAGAAACTGGACTGGTTTAAACGTTAACACTATATTCAGAGCCGTCAACGATCGAAATTAATTAGCATTGGATAAATAAAAATTTCAGTTCTTCTAGACACAAAATACAACAGTGACTAGGGCTTTGAACTGTGTTATAAAAAAAAACAATTCCATGTATTTATTTTTCGTTATTTTTATGAAGATGCAGCCGTAAAGGATCAAATTTAAAGACCTGGGTAATTATAATTGTTTAAATTAGGTAGGTAAGTACTTATTAGAATTCATTTTTTTCCAAAGTAGAGTTCCTCTGTGAGACAGCATCCACAGTTTGTTGCCATATTTTTGGAAAGCATACATTTGCAATGTGAAAGTGTGACTGCCTTGTCCCCAACAAAATGTACATGCCTTTTTTAACAAATACAAAGTTAAATGACTACTTAGGTATCACATACCTAGATACCTAATCATTTATGACAATAAATGAATAGTATTTTGAATAAGCATTTATAGCATTAATGTCTTGACTTGGTCGGACAAATGTTTTTAAAATACTTGGGCACATCGTTTTTATTTATCTTCACTATGATAATTATTATGTAAATTATATGTTAAAGGTATCATTTTCCATACCTAGATATTCTAGAGAAGATACTTGAGTGGCAACTATTTAACTTTTTAAATAAATTTACAAAAATATGGGTATCTATGGGAGAAAAGTCTGGAGATCCCTAAGGTCATTCAACGAATCGTCTTCTTCCAGTTGAATGATAAATATTGTAACTAAATGTGAACATTAAAATTATAAATAAATTTTACTAAAAAAATATGCGGAAAACATTCAACCAAGTACTTTAACAAACTCTAGATGTCTCTAGATGTCTGGTATGTGATAATTTTTATTTTATTTGATTGTAGTTACAAATAAGTGTAATATGAGATGTTTATAAAAAACAATGTTATGTAGTGGTGCATTGAATAACTAATAAGTACGCTTTTGTGTGGTATCACACTTTGAAATATGCAAAATAAGAAGGCTACCGTATTTATATTCATACCACTGACTTCCACATAAAATTACCTTTTCAATAATGACGTATGGCAGATACTATGTAGGATAAATACTTATCCCTTGAATTAAAAATAGAAGTTTTACATTTCTCAAACAATTATTAGTCTTTATCTAGGAATTTATACAGTTCACCCTATATTTTCTTAATAACATTACTAATTAGATAATTAATTACCTTTGATGGCTTGGATTTCTTTTTTCAGCTTCATGCGCCTATTTTGAAACCAAATTTTTATCTGTCGTTCCGTCAAACAGAGCGCATGCGCCATTTCGATTCGCCTCCGCCGTGTCAGGTAGTGATTCGTGTGGAATTCTTTTTCTAGTTCGAGCGTCTGATATCGCGTATACGTTTGACGACCTCTTCGCCTGAGACCATTTGCTCCTGAAACATAAAAAAAATAATTAGTACACATACATTTATAAAAGAAATAACGCGAATCGTTACAAATTATATACAATGACATGTTTATTGTCATTAAATGTTTGTCCAAAATAAAAATTGAGCATTTTTAAACTTTTGTTAGTTTTCGTGGTGGTAATCGCTGTAAGATGCCGCAAAATATATGTAGCTGCGGTGGGGCGACTGCAGTTCTGCGATTTAAACGCAAATACACTCACATACAAACATTCTTTTAATTTGCATAAAATGTTCAGACCGCCATCGCCCACTACCACCACCGCGACCACCATCGCCACTGCGACCACCATAGCCACCGCGATCGCCATCACCACAGCCACCGCGGTCGATTATTTAATCCTTAAAACTGAAATTGTTGGTATATAGAATATAAAATATTTGTTTGTAAAATTTCTTACAGAGCCATTTATAAGGACAAAAGTCCAACTCCTTTTAAATGTAATCAACAAAGTATGCCTAACACTGGAAAAAGTAACCAAGCGTATACACCGAAACTATGCTGCGTTTTAATCTATAGTCGACACAGTTAGAAAAAGCAGCAGGAAAAGCTGTAAAAATTGCATGCCACTATCAAAACTACTGACAATTCTCTTTTTTTAATTAACTTGATCAATCATAATAAAATTAAATAATATAATGCAGGATGGTACCCCAGAAGGCTGGAGAGGAAAGATATGGAACACATGGGTCTTAAATCATGTAAGATACACTACTTTCTACCAAAAATATAGTACCCGTTGTAAGTGGACTAAAAGGCCAAAAGCATAACAACTAGAAAAAAATCAGAGAGGTTACAAAGATTTGCCTCTCTAATAATAACAGGGGTCCTTAGAAGCACACAATTAAGCTATTGCTAGGTCTTCCTTCATTGCACTTTGTGGTCGAACCATTTTTTTTATTGTCTTAATGTCAGTTTCTACTTTTCCTTTTAGTTCAAGTATCTGCTTCATAAAAAACAGCAGTATCATTTGCATAACCTATTATTTCTCTGGTTGTATCTAAGTGAAACAACCCATTTTTTAAAAATACCTTTAAAGTAAGTATCAATGGGGGGAATGATTCAAGGCCGCCCCTGTTGAATTTACTTAGGAATCAATTCAAGGCAAGGTTGGCAAATTCAATAAAATAAAAATAACTAACGCGGTTATTATCAAATAGAAATGCACGAATTCAAAATCGATAATAATGATTATGCAAAAGAAAGACAGTTGGTAATATGTATGCGCGAAATGAATGCGCGAAATGAATGCGCGAGCCGTAATGGTTTTTAGATCGCGGCACGTAGTCTAGTCACTCAGACTTTATAAAAGACACATCATGTATCGGTCTTCACCTAACGCTTCAATTGCTTATAAATAAATTATATATGTTCTGAGTAAGATATATGTAAATATTGTAAATAATTAATGAATATTGTAGTGTGGTGTTCTTAATAAAAATAAACCGTTTTACTGCTGAAGTGTTTATTTTTCTATCGTCGATCTTTTAATCCAAAGCCAGCGGCTTGTGAACACATGGAAATACAGTCCTCCCTTAAATTATAACCGAGTGTAGCATGCAAAAGGTTTAATATCCTGATGCAGGCGACACAACACCACTGACTAAAGATTAAACAAAATAGGCCATAAGACTGTGTCCTGTGGTACACCATACTTAATAGTTACCTCTTTAATTATTTCATCCCTTACTCTTACCACTTGGTTTCTTGTGCATAGATAACTTTTAAAAAGAGTTAGAACGTTTCCCCTGATCCCCACATCTTCTAGGATTTGGATTAAAAATGGATGACTTAGGGCCACTTGGACCGTTAGTAGAAATAAGCGAAGCTTAAAATGACATTGTTAATGAAAAAGCTTGGCTTATTTCTTAACGACCAATGGTGCTAATGGACCTTAAATTGTCAAAAGCATTACTTAAATCTATTGATAGGCATAGGTTTCCCACTTTCCAGCGATTTGTATATCTTTTGTGTTAATTTTAAAATAGCGTCCACAGGTAGCGTCCTCTATAAACCAATAATAATTTATATTTTTAGAATGGAAAAAGCGAGGTAATTCAAATATAAAATACAGGGTGATTCATTAAAAAGGACATAAGTTGGTTCCTGAGAGAAGTTATTAAACATCCTGTATATTCAAAAATAATTTTAAAATATGTAGTTTAACGCTGTCTACCGTTCTGCGAAAATATTTTTTTTATATCTCTAATAATGGCAGAGATATTGGACTTTTTCACACTAATGGATCACCCTGTATAGTTTGCTATTGTTCTGAATGGACAACCGTGGAATTTGTTTAAATTTAGATCTTAGGGCTACAATCGTGATTGAAAACACTGGCCCTTAGGTGAAATTTAAGAAGCCAATCCTTAATTCAGCCTCTTGCCTAAGTCCAGGTTGAATATAAATCAAAGAGTCTTTGGCGAATGGAAGTAATACTTTCGGATCGTGGCTAAACGAAAATAAAAATCCATTAGTTTTTTATTGATAGAGGAACTGATAATTGTAAAACATTATAAGTACAAAGTAAGAATAAAAAGGGGCACAATACCTCGATCGATTCTTGCCGATGCAAGATAAAATAACTTCAATATCATAAGATTCACGGTCCTTTTTGTTATGCTATTTTTCTTCCGACTAAAAGCGCAGCCTCAAATCGTGTTTCCAGACCACACAGTACGATAACAATTAACAAGAATTCTATATCGATTTGTTGCAAAACGGTAAATAAAGAAAAACGAGAATCGTTTAAAAGCGATTTCATCTGCCTAATTATTATTTTCGTACGTGTTACGATACACCCACTTAATCTTTGACATGTTGTTATAAGGGTATAATTTAAATGTGCAAAACAAGATGGAACACAAAAAGAAATTGTACGTTACCACGATGTAACACACTTGCAATGTATAATCTTTCAGAATAACACTGGAGCTTGTTAATGTTGAATGATAAAAGTTGTATTTAAAAATGAGTTAGCTTCCCGATAGGCTACTATAATTTTACGCGTTTGTCAATAAATCAAATTCGCAAATATAGTTTGTACATTTTTTTGTCGTTTTATGATTTATTCGGTGAATTGTAGACGTTAATTTACAGAACAATAGCACCGCTTCAATATACAGGTTACCATAAATTTAACAAGCTGCCATACCAGTTAGAAATTGTTTAATTTCCAAACTGGACAACGCGAAATAAACTGAATCATCAAATTTTATTTTATTATTCTCTTTTTTTGAAGCTATATAAATCAGCATTATTGAAATTCGAACGTAGATTCGATTTTAGAATTAAAAACTATGAAATTTTATAGCGATTTTACAAATGAAAACGTTGAAAAATATTTTAGTTCAACTTCAATTTCAAATCAAGTAAGTAACTATCAGAACTGATGTTATCTTTAAAACAACCGAAATAGCAATATTGATCAAACTTTACAGTCATATTTATCGGTTTGATTCGTTTTGTTAATTCGATTCATGTCTGTTTTAATTTATAAAAAAACTTCTACTCTAATTTATAACAAGATTGATTTTATTTTACCAGGCAGGAACTTTCAAAGCAACACAATTTAATAAATATGCAGTTGAGTATGTAAGACAAAATTCACAGAATGCTTTCTGAAAAAATACTAATGCAAGCTTCAAAAATTCCTCATACTTTTTGTTTTAACACATTTTTTTAAGAATTAGAAGTGAAGTGAAACAAAATGCATTAAATCTTCTTAATAATATCTAAAAAAAAAGAGTTCGTATCTTGCGAAATAGAAAAATAAGTGAGAAGGATGATATATAGATATAAAAACGATAAAAACAGTAGTTTTTCTACAGCCGCATGGACATTAGTTTATCTATGCACAGATTACAAAACGAAAAAGTATGCTATTGCGTTTAACTGAATGAATATATTTCTTATCCATTCTAGGTAGTGAGAAGACTGCAAAAAAAATGAAATCCACCAATCACAGTTCATATTTTGAACACCCAACTATTACTATTTTTAAAGTTTTAAATAAGTGATAATTCTGTTAAACTGTCAGTACCCAGGTAGCAATAAATATTGGCCTGATATAGAAAGTCAATATTGCCCCAAGATTACAATGTTGGCTTGACAAACTATTTTAATATTGGCTGCGCATCAAAGTGCTAACGCTTGAAAAACGAGGGCCAACGTTATATTCAAACATTAATTTAATATATTTTTTCGATAAAATGCCAATATAAGTAAACAAAATTGGATGAAGATTAACGTGTATATTGAATACAATATAGAAATTATGCCGCACGACAAACAAAACTCAATATTGAGTTTCATCATTGGTCCTATATTTGTCTTTAATTTTGCACCTACATTGTTCTACAATATTGGTTTAAATTATGTATTCATTTTAAAAGCAATGTTAGGTTAAAAACGTATTTAAATATTGGCTGCGGATCAAAGTGCTAACGCCTGAAAAACAAGGGCCAACGTTGTATTGAAACATTTATCCAATATATATTTCAATAAATCGCCAATATAAGTAAACAATATTGAGCTTATATTAAAGTGTAGATTGGGTACAATATAGAAATTATACTGCAGTACAAACCAAATTCAATATTCTTTATCAATATTGGTCCCATTTTATGCCATCATTATCATACAATATTGGTTTTCAATTTGATACCAATATCGGCAAATTTATGTACAACAGGATAGGTCCAATTTTACTATTATTAGTCTACATTGTCATACTATATTGGTATGAAATAAATACTGGAATCTAGTTTGAAACCCATTTTGCCATTTAGTTTATTACCAATATTGGCATTGAATATTAATTATCAAACATTTCCACAAATATTCCTGGGATCGATTTGAACAAAAAAGTAAAATACTATTTTTTCACTGAGCGTATAAAGTCATTACATATTTGTTTGTAGGATATCGCTATGTAAACTGAGCCAAGTATGCATTTTATACTTAT